CCCAAGGGGTTAAAACCAGCACTGTGAATAGCCAGGATCCCCAGCCAGGAAGCTGACCTACATGGCCTGGCAGACCTCTCCTGTCTCCCGCTGCTCAGCAGTGAATTTCAGTACATCTGCCTGTTCTGCTATGTCTCAGGTGAATCCTCTCACACCCTTCACCTCTGTGAACCCTCCCTGGGCTGGAGTGCAGCACTGTGAAGTTGGCCAAGGCTGCTTCATTGTGAATTCCATCCCCTGCCCCGAGGTGACCACAGGGCTGACCACAGACCGCAGCAGACCTCTCCAGTCTCCCCGCTGCTCCCCTTAGCAGTGTATTTCAGTCGATCTGCCTGTTCTGCTCCCCACTCTGTCTCTGGTGAATTAATGAATTCTCACTGCCCCTGCACCTCTGGCCTGTACCCCAGTTCTGTATGCATAAATAAATAAACCTAAAAGAAAGAAAGAAAGAAAGAGAATGTATTGGTCTCAATTCCGGAGGAGAAACCAATGTCCTCATTTGTCTGGGGAGCTCAGTACTGTTCACCCATTTATACATAAACACCGTGTGTGCCAGGAAACAAGATCTGATCTCCTTAAACTACTGAATTGCCGGCTATTTGTCTGTTGACCTCCAGGGATTTGGACTCAAGAAGGAAACCCCGAGAAGCTGAGGACTGGGAGGAGCACCCAGAACCAGAAGAGGCTGGGCACCGGCTTAGGACTGTGGGGGCCGTCCTCTGCCTGCCCTCCCGCTGCCCCCAGGTCACCTGGAGACGAGCCTGCTCCTAGACCGTGGGGCTCCCTCTCAGACCTCCTTTTCATTCTTACCCCGGCAATGACAAGCCCCTTGCCAGGTTTCCAAGACCCCAGCGGTCAGCCGGGAACCCAGAGGTCCAGGCTCCTCCTCGGCGGCCGATCTCGGCTCCTCCCCCGACCCCGGTTCCAGGTTCAGCTCCAGCCTTCTCCCCGCGGCGGGGCTGGCTCCCTCATCCCCTCCAAGCTTCAATTTCAAGTTCACTTCCTTCCCAGCTCCCGTTCTTCCTCTTTCTTGCCTCAGGGCGCCCCAGCCCCTCCCCACCTACTGGCGGGCCCTGGCCTCGGTCCTCTGCGTCGCCAGCCCCCATTGTCCAGTCCTTCCAGCCCGCTCCTCCTGGCGCAGATCCCTCCGTGACTTCCTGCGAAGTGTCCCTTGGGCTACCTCTGGGCGCCAATCTCCGTCTTCGGGCGTCCCCCGCCTCACCCAGGCCGGCTGCGTCTGGGCCACCTCGCCTTCCTGGGGGGTGTCTGTCTCCCCATCGCTGACTCCTCAGGCCCTCGGGGGCCTGGGGCCCTGGCACCTCGCGGTCTCTGCCCGGCCGCCCAGTCCTCTCTGGGGCCCCCTCCACTCGCACCCTGGCCCCGCGC